TCTCACCATCATCAACAGCCTATAATAGTCCACTGCTGGACATAGGCCTCTCCTTAGAAAGGAGGTTTTGACGTACTATACCATGCTGGCCAGACGGGTTTATATAGGGATTGTTTCAAGTTTTCCTTCTTTTTGCAGTGCCAACAGTCCTGTGCAGTTTGTTCCTTTAGTCGGCTCTTACGACACCCATGAGATGAATAGGGGTGGTGACATTCTGTATTTTTAATCCGTCACCACACTGCCATCTCTAAATTTATCAAAATAACTTGGTCAACCTACTTCAAGTAGCACAGTACATGTCGCGGAATACTAAATTTAAACCAGCTGTCTCCCTTTTTGGTTTGAATTTAAGCACGTGGTGTGAAAAACATAACATACACTCTTGTTCTTATGTCGACTGTATTAAAAGCTTGTTATTTCTGGTATTGTTTGAGAAGCAGAATTGTAAGAGAAAGTCTTTTGTAGTATGACATCACAAGTTACCAATCAGTTCGAAATAGAGATTACTATAATAATAATAATAAGTAATAATGTTTCGGACATCTGGCGCACAACGCCATCTAGTTTCAAACTAAGCAGAGCTTGTACTATGAAAGCTAGATTGACTGACAGAATACTTATATACTTTTTTTTTAAATACATCACCCATCACATCACATCAACAGCCTTTAATAGTCCACTGCTGGACATAGGCCTCTCCTTAGAAAGAAGGTTTTGGCCTACTATACCACACTGGCCAGGGTTGGTATAGGGTTTGTGTCAAGTTTTCCTTCTCTTTGCAGTGCTGCTATCCTGCCTAGTTTGCTCCCTTAGTCGGCTCTTACGACACCCACGGGATGAATAGGGGTGGTGACATTTCATATTTTTAATCCGTCACTACACGGGCAAACAATCTCTTCAGCATTATAATATTAATATCGATACCTAGGGTCCTTTTTTTTGCTTGTATGCGTGTTTGTATGTTTTTAAGGGCCACACTTTTCAAGAGAACAAGATGACAATATTGCTCAACATTGGAGAGAGTACACGACATCGTCCGTGACATCCAAAGCTCTTAAAACTTGACCTTAATCGCGTTTTTCATGGCCACACAATAGAGCTTTCAAAGCACCGAGGTCGCACACACAATTTGCACATTTCTGATCTTAACGAGCACTTAATTTGTATAGAACGATATACCTTCGATTAAGATGAGTTTTGTAAGGTCATGTATTAAGTAAGTATGCTGTTCCAATAATCATAAAAAAATATTCGATTCTTAATGTACTAAAATATTTTAAAAGGTACTAGATTTTGCTCGTTTCTTTGCTAAAGTTTATAAAAAGAACTTCCTATATCTCACACACGGCCGTCTGATCCCAAACTAGGCAAAGCCTGTACTATGGTAACCAGACTGCTGATAAACCTAAATATGTACTACACAGTTTATAAGTAGTACACAAGTACAACCAAGCTGTGGAACAGATTGTCGCCTGCGGTATTTCAAACCTTCAAGAAAAGAGCGTACTCCTTGTGAATCCTGAGATGCAGGCGTTCATGGGTGGCGGCAGTCGCTTTCCATCAGGTGACCGTCCCTCGTTTGCCCTCTATTAACTACAGCTATTAGTATCTTCGAGTCCGTGTGGTGACGGATTAAGAATACGGAATTTCACCACCCCTATTCATCCCGTGGGTGTGGTAAGAACCGACTAAGGGAGCAGACTACGCAGGACAACAGCACTGGAAAGAGAAGGAAAACTTGAAACAAACCCTATATCAACCCGTCTGGCCAGCGTGGTATAGTAGGCCAAAACCTCCTTTCTAAGGAGAGGCCTATGTCCAGCAGTGGTCTGTTATAGGCTGTTGATGATGATTGGTATTTTGAAACTGGACTAATGATGGTACGATAATGGGTAGTGGAACTCTTCAGTGGGCATTATTGAACCACTCAAGTTGGAGCTCATTTAAGCCGTTTTTATCTGTTTACATATATATCTTATAGTTTATTTATTTTGATGGAAGAACCATACTTCAGCACCAATTAGCGGGTTCGACCAGAATGATACCAGAGCCTTGGAGAAACCCGTTGTTCAGCAATACTACTACTAGATAGTGATGGAATAAAATTACAAACACATGTGATAAATCATATGGTTTATAAATCATATAATCACACCTACGAGTTATTTACAAAACCACTGCCACTTAATTATTATTATTACGCTGGCGCAAAAAGAATTTTGTTTGCTTTCAATGGCATTTGCCTTTGTCTATGACGAAATCACAATCATATAAAAATCTGAAATCGACGTGACTAAAACCAATCATTTCATCAAATGAATATGATTTAAAAGTAGCAATAATTTCTATATCTATTACTAGGTTGCTGGCGGAGCACCAGGGACTTCCTTTCTAGGGTATAGAGACCTGGTTCCCCGGCTATTAGTACCCGAGACGGCGTGCGGTTTTAGTCGGTTCGAGTCCGACATGCCACCGACAGGTGGTATCCGAGGGGATTTCCACACAGAAAAAAAATATATATATATATATATGGCTGCTCTTTGAGTGTCCCTCTCCTGCCACCCCAGAATTATGGGGAAAGGAGCGGTGAGGCACCGGTGTCCTCTCTTAGTCGGTGAAAACAACGAAAGAATTGTTTAACACCGGTTTCTGTGAGGCCACCATACATCCATCCATCCATACTTATCCATACTAATATTATAAATGCGAAAGTGTGTCTGTCTGTCTGTCTGTTACCTCTTTACGCTTAAACGGCTGGACCGATTTAGATCAAATTTGGTACAGAGATCGTCCAAGTCCCGGCAAAGGACATAGGGTAGTTTTATCCCAGAAAACATCCTTTAAGGGGATGAAAAGCGGGTGGAAATTTTTATAGGGAACAATAACCGCTGAACCGATTTCGATGAAATTTGGTATGAAGATACTTTGATTCTTTAGGAAAGACATAGTCTCCTGCGATAACCGATATTTAAGCGGGCGGAGCCACGGGCAAAAGCTAGTATTTTATAAATGTGAAAGTGAGTTTTCCGTGAGTTGAGTATTCCGTGTGGTGACGGATTAAGAATACAGATTGTCACCACCCCTATTCATCCCGTGGGTGTTGTAAGAGTCAACTAAGAAAAAAAATACGCAGAACAACAGCACTGCAGAGAGAAGGAAAACTTGACACAAACCCTATACCGACCCGTCTGGCCAGCGTGGTATAGTAGGCCAAAATCTCCTTCCCAAGGAGAGGCCTATGTCCAGCAGTGGACTAGTAAAGGCTGTTGATGATGATGATGATGATGATGAAAGTGAGTTTGTTATTGTTTGTTTGTAACGCTTTCACGCCTAAACTACTAAACCGATTTTAGAAATTATTTCACTAATAGAAAGCTACATTAAAAGCGAGTAACATAGGGTACTTTTTACCGCGATAACCGGCATAGACGCGGGCGGAGCCGCGGGCAAATGCTAGTGGTTTAATTAATTAAAGTTTAATGCCGAACTCAATACTGTATTTATGAATGAGTAGCCTTGTGTAAGACGATTTGTTTAACTTGATGAAGGCTCTTATCATTAAGCTTCTCGTAAGTTGGGTAAGCAGATTATTGGATGATTGAGCAAGTCTATAAAGAAATGTTGTATAGAAGGTAATAATACATATTATGTACATAATTATGTGTGTGTATTGGTAAATGTAAAGGTGGTTTTGTACTGTATACTTATGTGGAGGAACGGGTGTCATGTCCCTCCAACACAAAGGGAGGATCCTATTACCAAGCGAGATGATCATGCCTGGCAGGCCGCAGCCCAACGGTTGATGTTTTGAATTTAATATATGCTGAGAATTCTTCATATCGCGATACAGGATTAGCAATTCTCATTCATTACTCCGTATTTCGGTGTGTCTTCGTTAGATGGCGCTGTAGTATGTTTCTGTTCCTTTGTATGTGGGAGTCGTCACACTTATATGAAACGTGTACATTTCGAAGATACACAACCAGTATCTGCTTATTCTTTATAAATATGAATATCATTAATGAAATTTTTTATCCCAACTGTGGTTCCAACTTTAGTTTCAATTTTTTTTTTTGTATTTTTGCTTCGTGCGTTAATGCATGTAGGTTACACTAAATAATAGGAATGACATACATCTAATCTAATAACCTTAAATGAGAATTATTAGTAAATATTTATATTTGAAAATATATAAATACGTGCTTCTTTCTTTTTCTTCTTTTCACTTTTTGCCCCGCACTACCAATCTGAGGAGCGGGTTATCGTCTAGGGTATTTTTGGACCGATACGACCTTCAAACCTACCAGTAGAGAGCGTACTACTTCCTAAGAGGCCGGCAACGCGTTTGTGACTCCTGGGCCTCAATTCTGCTATTTTAGTATTGTATCAATAGACTGTCGATGGAATTTCGTCGTAATAGTTTTGCACTTTTGCTTTTCTACTAACTATGTAAGACCAATGGCCTCCCGATGACTTGTCACTGATACAAATGTCGTCGATGTCTTTGTAATAGATTGGTTAACGGTACATTTTAAATTAGAAAGAAAATTATCTATTTACTTTTTCAGGTATGGCAATGTTGTTGATATCACCATTGATGTCCTTTATTACTATATCGACAGTCTACTGACACTGTGAATTTATGTTAGTAGAATACCGATATTTTGACCGATGTCAATGGCGTCTCAATAGCGAATGACAGTGGCTTGGCGCTAACATAAAATAGCAGAATTGAGACCCTGAGTTGCAGACGTTCTTGGGCGGCGATGGTCACTTTCCATCAGGTGACCCGTCTGCTCGTCTGCCCCCTCTAACATAAAAAAAGCGAATGGTTTCCAGCCAATTTTACACTGGTTCAAATTACACCTACATAAATAATAATCTATGGATATCTGTCGTAGTTATACCGGTATAGATCGTTGAGTTATTTTTCTAATTACCTCTACCGGTTGATGTTTTTCTAAATAATATATTTAGATTAGGTACTGATAATAAGGACATTAGCACAGCATTAGAATGTAAGAAAGAAGATAATAAGAACTTACCTGATCCTGAAAAGTTCGGTGTAATGTCTCTTTCGTATACCTCCCGTCTCCTTGCTTGAAGATAGCAGAACACTGCTTTAGGAGAGCCAATCTCGTCCTCTCCTTTGCACATTCGACCTCCATGATAGAGAGTCTATGCCCCGTCCTAGGGACACACAAACCTCCTTCATAGTTACCATTTAACTCTGTTACGTTGGCACTATTGTCAGCTTCTTCACTTTTTAAATCTATAGTGTCAAAGTTCGTGACTATCGCCGGAGTGTTGGCAAAACCGTTGGTCGCCATTTTCGTTTAAACACTTAGTCTTTGTTTTAACATATTTGGTTTAATTTCACTGTTAAAGTATGTTGGTTGTATAAAATTTAACCGACTTAATTCATGAAAAATTGTAGTAAGATGTTTTCTTCGCCCTTGAATTATTCCCCTTAAAGTTGGATTATATCTGAGTTACAATAGCCTAATATAAACTGACCGTGTGGTGATGAATTAAGAATGCGGAGTATCACTATCCCTATTCATCCCGTGGGTGTCGTAAGAGCGGACTAAGGGAGCAAACTACGCAGCACAACAACACCGCAAACAGAATGAAAACTTGACAAAACCCTACTATACTACGGTGGCCAGACGGGTTGGTATGAGATACTTGCCTAATATATTTGCAGGAAATATAAAATTACACCTCCTACACTGCTGTCTGATCCCAAACTGGGTAGACCCAACACTGTGGTAATCAGACTGCTGATAAATATACTCATATATTCCTAAATACAAACATAAACTCTAAAGATTTTAAAAGGCCCCAGACTAAGATTAGACTTTTTTCGGCCTTGGTTCGATCTGGTCTGGAATATTGTGCTCAGGTTTGGTCACCACACTACGAGGTACATATCAAACGTCTCGAAAGTGTCCAAAAGTGTTTTCTTTGGCACCTTTCATACCAGTGCAATAAAGTAAAACTGCTGCCGACGTATGAAAGTCGTTTAAAACATTTTAATCTCCACAGTTTGTTCGATCGTAGGCAGTTATTGGATCAGATTTTGCTTTACAAATTAGTTAACGGTGACTTAGACTGTCCCATTCTTATTGAGAAAATAAATATAAATGCTCCCTCAAGATCTCTCCGTGCCAATAAATACGCTCCTTTTTCTATTAAATCTTCTAAAACCAACTTGGGTCAGAACGCTACTATAAATAGACTACAAAGCCAGTATAACAAGCTGACGAAAAATCGTGAAATTGATGTAGACATCTTCTCAATTAGTCTTCCAAAATTTAAGAGGAAAGTTATTGCGTCATTTAGACTTAGACCACTTTAAATGCATCACTGTTTCTAATTAATTTCGATGATGTTTTGTATGTTTCGTATATTATTATAGATATTGCATTGTATAATCTTAGATGCAACTGTCCCTTACCATGCCGTGGCAACTTGTAAGTAAGACAACACTCAGAAAATAATTGTAAAACATGTTTGTAAATTATGTATTAGTGTATGTTTTGTAAGTTGTCCTATATAAATAAATAAATAAATAAATAAATAAATAAATAAATAAATAAATAAATAAATAAATAAATAAATAAATAAATAAATAAATAATACAATTTGCTTCCAGACATAAAGTAAAATGATCATCTCACAATAATTTGTCCTCAATGGAAATCAAACCATCGACCTCTGAGTCAGCATTCAGTGTCACGAACCACTAGCTACTATAAAAGCTAGCTATTGCCTGCGGTTCCGACCGCGTTTATGTCAGTTATCGCGGTAAAGGCGCTCAGGGATAATATACCTTTCGAACAGTGTAAAAATTTTCAAAATCGGATCAGTAGTACCGGAGATTACCCCTAACATACAAACTCACCCCCCCCCCCCCTCCCTCCTAACATACAAACTTTGCAAAAAAGAAATAACTATTCTCCCTTCTAACCTCCTTAGAGAATAAACCTTATTTTCCACCTTAGTTGAATAAATACTAGGCTTACAACAGTTTCACTGCCAATTGCTCATAATATCGACGCACAAAGTAACTTGACGTTATTTTTAAGCACTTAATACAAAAAAAATACACAACGTTTATTGAAATATAAAATTACACAATACCAGCACTTTGTGAGACCCAGTACATAAAATATCTCAATAACGTTAAAATTAATGATAAAAGCGATCTCTACATTACAACACTACCAGATATTGTGTAACACAACGCAAAAATATATATATACACATTTAAAAAGTAAATTAATGTTATTTAATTGTGATATATTTTTTATGACGCGGTATTTTTTTGGCGGTGGAAAAACACAGGAACCAGGACTGAGATCGTTAGGCGTATTGAGATCCTCTCGTTTTCAGAAAATAGCACTATAAATAAAAAAAAAAAAATATTTATTTGACGACCGAATGGCGTAGTGGTTTGTGTAACGGACTGCTATTCCAAAGGTCGCGGGTTCGATTCCCGCTCAAGTCAAACATTTGTGTGCATGAACATTTAATGTTTGATTTGGTCTGGGTGTTTCTATGTATAATATGTATGTATTTACAAAAAAAAAAGTATATATATATCAGTTTTCTAGTACCCATAGTACAAGCTCTGCTTAGTTTGGGACTAGATGGCGTTGTGTCAATGTGGTACAATATTATTATTATTATTATTTTAAATTAGAATAGTTGTGCCTTTAATATAATAGCAGTCTATCAGTCCTCTCTTCATCACTATTTCCTGTTTAAACATAATATGCTCTGCCCAATCATATTATAAACAAACAAGGGGTGGATACGCCACCAACGCACAAAACTGCTGTAAATTGGTCCTAATTAGGACCACTGCGAGTGAGCGCTCGTATTAATTAATTCGAGAAAATTCATAAAATGCCTTTCTGTGTATTCAGAAAGTGCACAAATTACGGCAAAAAGGTAAATAAAGGAATATCATACCATAGGTGAGTGTATGTTTTTTTCTAAAATGCATTATTAGATGTACTCGTATGTACGGTTACAAAACAAATGTTTTGTAAGTGCAGTATCGATATAAATCTTCCCTAAAACGACCGAATGGCGGAGTGGTTTGTGTAACGGACTGCTATTTCAAAGGTCGCGGGTTCGATTCCCGCTCAAGTCAAACATTTTTGTACACGAACATTTAATGTTTGATTTGGTCGGGGTGTTACTGTGCAAAATAAGTATCTATTTACAAAAAAACAGTATATATGTATTTATATCAGTTATCTAGTAGCCATAGTACAAGGTTTGCTTAGTTTGAGACTAGATGGCGTTGTGTGAATGTGGTAGAATATTATTATTGTAATATCATTGGCTCAGCCCCCTTAATTAGCTGTGCCATCCCTATCTTCGGTTAGAAACTAGCGCACAAAACCATTCGACGTACTCATATAATACATGCATATATAATTCTAATTTTATTGCCATGTGTATTACGAATTCACCTTTCGAAAATATCAATTAATCTTGATCGCTGAAGAAACAAACAATTAACAACATGATTGTTGCTATTGTTACACGGACTTGCCGGTCAATAGCCAATGCAAGTTAGGTACAGATAATTGACCCGGACCTGACCAAGCTTTTTGTAGCTGTAGAAGCAATATGATTTTTTTAAAGACAATTCCCGCATTAGGAATATATCCTGTGTCGCGGGGGTCTTTACAAACATACATGAAACGGACACAAAGTACACCCAGACTCATCATCATCATCATCATCATCAACAGCCTTTACTAGTCCACTGCTCGACATAGGCCTCTCCTTAGGAAGGAGGTTTTGGCCTACTATACCACGCTGGCCAGACGGGTTGGTATAGGGTTTGTTTCAAGTTTTCCTTCTCTCTGCAGTGCTGTTATCCTGCGTAGTTTGCTTCCTTAGTCGCCTCTTACGACACCCACGGGAGGAATAGGGGTGGAGACACTCTGTATTCTTAATCCGTCACCCAGACTCAGAACAACAATTTGTGGGTCACACAAATTGTCGTCCCACAACCCATAACACTCGGCGTAGTAGGAAGCGGTGTGGCGACCACTACGCCATCCGTACAGTCGAATTTCCTGTCATTCCCTTTCATTCTCATTTATTTCTCTGAGCCTTTGTCCCAAACTAGGTTGGGGGACCTTAGGTCTACTACGATACGGCTAATCTACAATTATCTTCTTAAACATATAAAATGACTTGCCCAGACTCACTGACTGATTCATCAACGCATTGCCTAAACTGCTGGGGCTACAAACTTCTCCTTCTGCGAGCGAAGAAGACGGCGGAGCGGGACCGGGAGAGGTTTAGAACTCTCCCGGCCCGCCAGGCCCGAGAACGGGCCAGGTACCGCAGGCGATTCAGGCGCCGGAGGTCGCAGAATGACCTCCGTCCTCCATAAGCGCAGGCCTGGGGGTGACAGGTGAGGCCATCTGTCACAGGGAGCAGAGGGAACATGAGGTTCCCACACGGGGGGTCGTCTACTCGTCTGTAGACGGCCCAAGGAATGTCGGGGCACCAGTCACTTCCTTTCTAGGGTATACCTGGTTCCCCGGCTATTAGTACCCTCGGGTACTAATAGCCGGGGAACCGCGTGGGAATGGCGTGCGGTTTTAGTCGGTTCGAGTCCGACATGCCACCATGGTGGTATCCGAGGGGATTGCCGCACGGAAAAAAAAAAGGGCTACGAACAGGACATTTCAGAAGCTGATGGTATGTATTTTAGAGTTTTGCTGGTACTATGTATTTTAGAGTTATTTTCCCATATAGATTTGTGTATCGTTTTAGTAATAATAATAATAAACGTTTATTTGCGAATATTGAAACAATGGTAAAGTTGTTACAAAGACAATATAAAAATAATAATTATACATTATTGACTCTACGGGTTTTTATACCATGTATCACGGGCTTTGTATTTTTGAAGATCTACGTTAAAGTACTCCTTGGTTAGTGACGTTAGTTTTATTTTCTGATGTATAGGAATGATTTTGCTGAAATCTAATAGTTGTCCGTAGTCTTATTTTCTTTTAGAATTCGAAGTTGAAGTATTTACACATATTTGGTCAAGGTGGGTTGTAAGTTCTGCCGTAACTCGAAAGGCCATACGAGATTATTGAATCTGCCAGAGATTTATAGAGTAGGAGGAGTGTTTTGTATAGTAAATTATTTTTGATTATGGAGAATGTGGTGAGAATAATTTGCAGTGTGTTGCAGACTTGATTAATGTGTTCTTTCCAGTTTAGCCGGTTGTCAATAATTAGTCCGAGATAGGTTTGTTTCTCAACGTTTTCTTTTGTGTCTC